TATAGTTTTCGCTGTGCTCCTCTAGTTGGATTTTTGGCCAAGTTTATGTGTTCAGTCCATCTCTTGTCGGGCTGTCTTTCTGTCCTCCCCACGTACATGTGTCTACACCAAGGTGAAACTCCCTGTACTAACTAGTTGCTCAATTTCCATTGATAGCCTGTGTATCTGCTCCCACTTCTGTGTTGTGGTGAGGTCGACTGATGTTAAGGTGTCTTCTACCTTCCCGACAGATCTTCGGCGCTCGAAGATGTATCGGATGAGTCATACTCATCACTCCCGCTTGATTTTGTACTAAGGCTCTCGTAATCATCCTCACTTGTGTCGCCGCCAGTTATATTGGACACTCTGATGTTATCTGGATCTGGCATGATCTGTGTTTCAATATCAGAATCCCGGTTGAAGTCCCGCCCCTTGTAGGCGATCAATCCAGGAACTTGCCTCAATGCCGAGATCGCTCGCGGCTTGTCCTTGTACCTAATATCATGCACCTTGCATAAGACCTTCAGGTCCGTGTAGTGAAGACGAAGGAGTTGCATGTCCGTCATCGGTTCGACCCCGAAATTAATGCTCCGTTTTGCCTTTGACTTCGCTGCCGACACATTGCGATTAATCTTCGTTCGTCCTTTCTTGGGGTGTGGAGGGATTACGCGTCCCAATCTGCTTTTGTTCGGTGCGCTTCTGCTTGGCATGCTTCTGCTGCGGCTACCATGTACTGAAGTTGGTAGTCCAACCATTATCCCCACATATCTGTTCGGATGAACCGAAGACGACACGATCGAAGTGCAGGTACGAGTCGGTTCATTGATCTTCTGCAACGCACCCTTCACAACCGCCAGATCATACTTTTGTAGTTTTAGGTTGTTGACCTCCTTTTGCACTTCCGATACCATCCTTTCTACTTCATCTTCCGCCTCTGCATTCTTCTGACCGGTTGCGCTTGGACCAGTTTGATTCTGTCCCCCTTGGTTCATCTCTGTCGGCTTCAGTGCTTCATCAATGATGGACTTGAGCGTGTCCGGGGTTAGCTTAGGCTTCTTTGCGGTGTCTTCCTTGTTCGGAGGAGCTGGCTGCTTTTCACTTATCTTTCGTGTGAGTTGCTCCAGTGTCTTGAGAACTTTGTCCATCTCCCGGTGGAGCTTAAAGATTTCTTCCTTTAGATCCGCCGTAAAACACGCTCGATTTCCCGGTGGGGGGAAATCATTCCGTCTTTGCTCCCACAATGGTCTCGAGAACCACCTTGGAGATTCTGACTCCGCCCTTCTTCTCCGTGACGATGGTGATCTTGACTTATGTCTTCTATCTCTCGGAGTTTTCGATCTCCCCCTTCTTGAGCGTTTCCTCCCTTGAGATCCGGAAGATGATGATGAGTGTCTGCGCCGCCTCCTGTCCGACGATGATCGCGAACGCGACATCTTCCTTGAAGCTTGGGAACGTCAGGTAGGTAGTCTTCGTACTTGAAATCGATACAAAACCCCACAACGTCGTTGTTCGTCTTCAGTACACACCAGATAAGTAAAATAAAATCTCCAAATATCGCTGAGTAATCTCCACGCTATAGTAATCTTCAACAAATCGCCACTATGATATCATGAAAAAAAAGGGTTACGAATGATGAGAAAGAGATAAAGACAATGAATGTAAAATGGAAGAGTGACAGGTCTATACAGTGCCAATCATCGCGGGTACCGCCCGCAAGTTCTAAGCACCGTGCATAGAGATAAACGCATGCAAATGTAGACAAAACGTTCGAGGTTTTACTTTCACAGCACTCACATGCAAATGTGGACAGAATGTGCGAGGTTTTACTTTCACAGCATACACGTAATGTCCATGGCATGCGACACCAGTCACGATTACCCTTCTACCTCACTGCTCGGGCAATCATTTCAGCCACTATCCTCAGTATTTATACCCTTCGTTCCCAGTCCTTCTCCGCCACTTTCCCTATCCTTGCAGTATACTCATCACCTATCCTCAGGATCTCCCGCAGTCACTCTCTGTGTTGTCCTTGTCGTCGTCGATTTCCAACATGCCTTCAATCTGGAGCTACTTTCATCATATCTAATGATTCTGTGCATGTTACTCACGTACTCTCCTCTTTGTCGGAGTTCCGTCTTATTGTGGTACTTGCCTATAACTCCACTGTTTTTTTTATACTGACTCGAATCTGACCTTGTTTGTTGTTTTGTTCTTGTTTACTTTCATGGCCGTGGATTTTCCTTCATTTTCAGGTGAGTATTTTTTCTTTATTGGTTCGTTTCCACTACTTTAGGTCTTTCATCTTCTATCTATTTCATATGTTTGGAAATGTGAGTGACACTGTTACGTCGTTATATCTACAAAAATTCCGTGATATTCCGGAGTACTTAGTCGTGTATGTTTTTTTTTTGTCCTTGGAAATTAATTTTCATTCCGTGCAAAATTATATTTTTTATTTTTTATTTTTGATTCTTGATTTTTCGATTTGTGAATTTAGCTTTATATTCCGAGTCGTGTGAATTTCTTGACGTATTTTATTCCGGATTTTCAGTTTTATATCTGTCGATTTGGTGCTTCTTGCTTTTCCAGGTACTCCTGGAATTTATTTCGGACGTCCGCGTCCCTGCAGTTTCGGATGAACGCAAGTATCGCGGCGCGTGTTATCCTTCATGGGTAATCCATGAGTCGGAGTTCCCGTCCGAACAGGTTAATCACGGGCGGTAGATCCGTCATCTCGTATGTGTTAGCTACCATTCGATGAAAAATTATGATAATCGTCAAGGTCTTGGTTCTCTAAGAACCCGCACTTCTGAAGTGATGCAACGTCCTGAGAGAGAGAGAGAGAGAGAGAGAGAGAGAGAGAGAGAGAGAGAGAGAGAGAGAGAGAGAGAGAGAGAGAGAGAGAGAGAGAGAGAGAGAGAGAGAGAGAGAGAGTAGGAGAGAGAGAGAGAGAGAGAGAGAGAGAGAGAGAGAGAGAGAGAGAGAGAGAGAGAGAGAGAGAGAGAGAGAGAGAGAGAGAGAGATGAGAGAGAGAGAGGGAGAGAAAGAGGTTGAATGGCAAAATTGAAATATGGGTCAAATTGCGGCCGCAATCTATTTCGTAGTTGGAATGATTTTTTTTAATTTATGTAGCGTTTGTCCTGGAAAGATCACAACAAAATTTAGGAGTACTCCAATTTTCAGGTTTTTTCACGCATTTTTCTGAGCGCGAAAACTCACTGAATTTGGCGTACTTTTTTAGTTGGCCTAGGCATAGCTGAGTGGAAAAAATGGAAAATGTGCTGAATCGGCGCGACAATTATTTCGCAGTCTAAATGATTTTTTGTAAATGTTCTATTATTATTTCTGGAAAGAACACAACCTCATCTATGGATTCTCAAAATTTCAGATTTTTGTGCATGTTCGTCTGAGCACAGAAAATCGCCAAAGTTGCCTCTTGCAAAACGCCTGTTTCATTGTGCCTGACCTCCCTGTTTTGAGAAGACGGGGCTCAATGCCTGGGCCTGAGGACCCTTTTGCAGATCACATGCCCTCACTTCGTTTTGGGGTCCGCTTCTACCCGAGGACCGACCCAATGCCCCCACTTCTTTTTGGGGTCCACTTCCACCCGAGGATCGGTCCTTCGTTTTTCCAAAAGTCCCGGTTCTACCAGAGCTAGCTGCAGGTAGTCCGCAATTTTGCCAAGGACCGGTCCCCTAAATTTTTTTGCCCCCGAAAAACCCACTTCCGTCCTGGTCGACCGCCGCCAAAAATGCGACACCTTAACACAGATGCCGAAGCCCACTATACCGCAGCCTAAGGGCTGCGAACTAGGTCCGGTCTGAATTCTTTCCTTATCTTGGGTCGTGCGACCACTCGAAGCTATCAGCTGGAGTAGGGTCCAAAGAGGGTCTGTGTTTTGTCCGGTCGTGTCGGGATTAAGTCTTGGAGTTGACGATTGAGACCCGGTAGTCTTTCGGTAGAGCCTTTCATAGAATACTTTTAGGGCAACCACACTGGTTTAGTATCCGTGACGCTTTGACCCCTGATGAGTTCGGCACTGGCGGCCGGATGAAACATGTCGGGTCCCTCGCCAGATGCCCGACTTGGTATTCACGTATTGGCGTGCTGTCGCCATCTTTCGGCCGGGCTGATGGGATGTGCTTCATTCACGTTTTTGTAATCCCATCCTGTCGCGTTCGGGTTCTTGCATCAGCGTGTTGGCTTATCTTTGTGCATCCCCTTTTCTCTCTCTCTCTCTCTCTCTCTCTCTCTCTCTCTCTCTCTCTCTCTCTC